TATTCTTTTATACTTTTTATACAAGTATTTTCGTGATCATGTGACCGGTGATTAATTGCATTCCAAAAAGAAAAAAATATGACGTCATCGTGTTTGTTCAGTGACAATAAAAATTACAGCGTGTTAAGAAATGCTCAGACTTCCAGAGACTTGCTCAAAAGTTGCCGATCAGGATTTCACTTGATCCGAGGGCAGAGCACGTGCTTTGGAATAATGACAATTCTGGAATTGATTGATTTTCACCTTCCATGTTGCATTCGTCATTTATTAGAGATGTTTCTGCTGCTACAGGTTCTGTATCAGTGATAAATATCAGTGATAAATACACGACAACATCGTCATAGAGAAGTCGGTCTCTGTCTGAATCTTCTTTAGCTATTGACGCCTCTGATGGCGGTTCTTGAAATGAGGATTCACTCACGGTGTTTAATTTTCCTATCTGTGCACTATATGGTCTCGAGCAACCATAAGGCATGATCGAACTATCCCTTGAACTTGTAATCAATTCTTGATAACAGCTTTCGGAAGGTTTTCCCAAGTTTGCGTAATGTGGATTCTCAAAGCAAGGTATGTGATATACGTCCTCTTCATCACACTGTTCATAGATAATTTCTTTGCTTTTGTTTTCGTCAATCAGCATTCCTTCTTCTTCGCAGCTTTCTGTAGGTTTGTCCAGGTTTGCGTAATGTGGTTTCTCAAAGCTCTGGCAAGGTATTTGATATATGTGTTCGTCTTCATCACACTGTTTATAGATGATTTCTTTGCTTTTGTTTCTGTCGATCAGCATTGCTTCTTCTTGGCAGATTTCTGTTGGTTTGCCCAAGTTTGCGTAATGTGCTTTCTCAAAGCTCTGGCAAGGTATTTGACAATTGTCTTCGTCTTCATCACACTGATTGAAAATAATTCCTTTGCTCTTGTTTCCGTTAATTTGCATTGGTCCTTCTTCTTGGTCATAACAACGTTCTTGGAATTTAAAGTGAACTACTTCATCAGGCAAGGCGGGAGCAGGCATTGATGTAATCGATGACGCTCTTGAATATGGTACTGTTCGTGGTGTCTGTTGGACTTTTGAAGATGATTTCGTCCTTCCGCGAAACATTGACAGTGTTTGATTTCCCCACCTTTTAAGTTGTCCTCGAATACTCTACGAAGGTTGAGCGTAATGGTAGTTATGCTCTCGAAAAAAGTCTTCCGATAATCACTCCATGACATCTCTATGTACATGTGTAGGAGCAGTTAACTGCTCACCGCTGTTTTGTGTAAAGTTGTGTTCAACGTTGAGGTCAGGCCAGTTTTCGCAAACTTCATGCCTTTTTGTCGAACAGTATTTGACATTCAGTTTTTGGCGATGAAAAATAGCCGATATCAAATTCCGATAAACGAGTAGTGATCGCGCGAGCTTGGTAACAAACTAAAAATAGCTCTTTTTCTAAAAATAGAACGAAGGGCTGATATGATGGGTAACAGGGATTCCTTCTCTTACCTCATTTTATCTTGCCCGAAAGCATTGGTATTCAACTCTGTTTTTGTATTTGTTTATTTTTCCTTGCATTGATTTTTTTTTAGAAATTTATTACACAAATTTAGCACGCAAGTGAGTACACAGGATCATACAAATAACCTCTGGGTGATTTGAGAAAATTCGACTAGCCTATCAGCGCGAAGCTGACAAGCTTATGTTGTAAACATAACCCCCCTACGGGAGAGTCGAGCAAAACTCGACCCAGTGGCGTTGGCTGCCTGTCATTTTATTCTATCCGAAAAATCGAAGCTAAATTGAAAATCTTTATAAAATAGCTTTTTAAAGCTAATTAAACATTTAAAAATGTCAATCAAATATTTATCGTTATAGAAATTAAATTTTATCGTAAAACTGAAGTAACAAATGATGTTTTCTTTAATACCACGAGACTGATTGTTCTGTGTTCTACGCGGGTTCTCCATTGCATGCGAAGCAATGGCCGACTTCACGAACGACGTTCAAGTCGAAAGTATCTTAGGAGGAGCCATTGCAAATCTTTTTTCTTAGCTCTTGTTTCCTCTAAGCTTTGAGGTATCTACAACATCTACGACATCACTGGAAGAGCTATAGAGCGGCTTAGGTCCACATATTCCAATAGAGTTAAAGCGTTTGTTATTTTTGGTACAAACAAATGTCGTAGCTCATCCGTTATGGTCGTTATGTAACAGGTCAGTTACACGTTTACTAGCTTTGACCTTACAATAAGAGCTAGAACGGTGACTGGGGTTTTTCGTGTAATGTCTTGATAGCGACTGATTATGTCGAAACGACTCAAAACAAAATTCATCGTGAAAAAAGTGGAAAATGGTGGAAAATGTTTGATATGAGCATTCAATTCTTACATCAGAAACCGTTGTTCGCGACTTCAATGTTCAAAGGAAATAGTTGGGATTTTAGGTTTTTCTGCGACTTGGGGGCGGAGCTTGATACTAATCAGCCAATTTTGTTCAAATTTGTCGCTAGTCAGTAGTTATTTTGTCCATTTGTCGCTAGTCGGTTAACCCCATTCAGACTCCTGATAGCTGGCTAGCCACAGCTAGCCCGCTAATAACGTCTGGCTGATTTGAGAAAATTTGACTAGCCAATCAGAGCGAAGCTGACAAGCTTATCTTGTAAACATAACCCCCCTACGGGAGGAATTTGCACAACAAAACTCGACCCAGTGGAGTATGCTGTCTGTCATTTTATTCTATCCGAAAAATCGAAGCTAAATTGAAAACCTTTATAAAATAGCTTTCAAATGTCAATCAAATATTTATCGTTATAGAGATTGAATTTTATCGTAAAACTGAAGTAACAAATAATTTTTTCTTTAATACCACGAGTATCTTAGGAGGAGCCATTGCAAATTTTTTTTCTTAGCTCTTGTTTACTCTAAGCTTTGAGGTATCTACAACATCACTGGAAGAGCTATAGAGCAGCTTAGGTCCACGTATTCCAATAGAGTTAAAGCGTTTGTTATTTTTGGTACAAACAACTGTCGTAGCTCATCCGTTATGGTCGTTATGTAATAGGTCAGTTACACGTTTACTAGCTTTCACCTTACAATGAGAGCTAGAACGGTGACTGGGGTTTTTCGTATAACGTATTGATAGCGAAAGTTTATGTCGAAACGACTCAAAACAAAATTCATCGTGAAAAAAGTGGCCATGGTTGAAAATCTTTGATATGAGCATTCAATTCTTAAAAGTTTAATTCTATAATCATTTTGTTTAGTTATGTAGGAATGAATTTAACACGGCTTGTACTGCTTGTCTGAGTGAAAGGCGAGCTGCGGGTTTTCCCTTTTCTTTACTTACACTTTCAAATATGACCGCGTAACAAAAATGCACGTGCTCACTGGCTTACAACCTTGGCGAATTCATATGCAGGCCTGGTTGCAAATCAATCGCCCAGCTTGTGTGTCACAGAAAATTTGATTGAAAGGTGTTTATTTATTTATTTATTTATTTATTTATTTATTTAGTTATTTAGTTATTTAGTTATTTAGTTATTTAGTTATTTAGTTATTTAGTTATTTAGTTATTTAGTTATTTAGTTATTTAGTTATTTANTTCATCGTGAAAAAAGTGGAAAATGGTGGAAAATGTTTGATATGAGCATTCAATTCTTACATCAGAAACCGTTGTTCGCGACTTCAATGTTCAAAGGAAATAGTTGGGATTTTAGGTTTTTCTGCGACTTGGGGGCGGAGCTTGATACTAATCAGCCAATGATTGAACAAGTTTTCGAAAAGCTCCGCCCCTCAGATTGAAAGAAAGAACAAAATCCAGACAAACTTCAAAACAAAGAGGTCGCGATGCAACGATTTCCGCTGTAAACGTTTAATTCTATAATCATTTTGTTTAGTTATGTGTAAATAAATTTAACAAGAACTGTACTGTTTGTCTGAATGAAAGAGGAGAGATGCGGGTTTTCCCTTTTCTTTACTTACACTTTCAAATATGACCGCTTAACAAAAATGCACGGGCTCACTGGCTTACAACCTTGGCTAATTCATATGCAGACCTGGTCACAAATCAATCACCCATATTGTGTATCACAGAAATTTTTGATTGAAAGGTGTTTTTTTTTATTTATTTATTACTAGACCAAAATAGCGGGGCAACAGTAGCGGGGATTTTAACATTGAATGTGCCCCGACTACCGGGGGAATATTTTAACACCAATCAAATGTTAAATTCCCCGGTATTCCCGGGGGCGGGGGCTTCAATTGACTAGTGCATTAAAGTACCGTAGGGGAGTACGAGTCGAGTTTTACACGTCTATAAGGCAGTAAGCTCTCGCATCCTTGATATATCGACTAGAAAGTGTTAATATATCTCCACCATCATTTACTTTAAAATTGTAACGCAAAAGTGGACGTAACACTCGTAGCAGACCCCTGTCTGCAAAGAAAGAGCATTTTTCCGAACTGGCGGGAAATTCAATTAAACATTAAACGTTAATTTATCAGATGCAAATAATTTTTGAATTAAGTTAGTGTTTAAAGAGAAACCATTACTTTTAAATTTTGAAAGAGCACTCCTTTACACTACTATTTCAGCGGATATACGGAGCCTCTACTGTTTAATTCGCGAAGTTATCTAGAGCCTTTCTTTAACTAAATTTAGCAACAGAAGAAATAGATAGATATTTTATATGCGATCGATAAAGTTTACAAGAAACTGACCCGCCTCAATTTTGCTGTTAAAAAAGTAGTCGCGTAGATGAAACGTAACGATAACATAGTCGAAAAACCTACAAATATAGGTATTTCTGTCACTTATGTCTGACATGCGAAACCGTTTTAGCCCTCGAAACGCATTTACTCACGGCATTAATAAGATTTCTTCATCCCCTTTGTCCCCTCTTATAAATTCATGAAATAAAACCATTGCGAAGATAAAAGACCCCCGAAACAAAGATTGCAATCATAACAGCGTGTTTTGAATTTCAGAGTAAGCTGCGCCCATTTGCGTGACCTTATACCATTGTGGTCCCAAGTAACCGAACGACTTCGTTCTAATTCATAATTCTGTCTCCGTCTTTGGAGCGATATTGGACGATTCACTCTTGTTTTCTTAACAGAACCACTGCTAAAAAGYTGGGAAACTTGCAGAGGTATGTCTTTTGGGTTATTTTAAACATTTGGAGGCATAAATAATATCGAATGTGAATGTCTCGAAATAATACCGACGATTTTTGATCAACTTCATTTAAATATATTCAAATGAATTTTAGGCGTTAAGTGTATTGCTGCTTTACCACAAGAATCAAACAAAATCACACCATAATTTAAAYAATAAAACCGAAACAAGTTAGTAAATTTGTGGCGAAGATTTTTTTTCTGATATTACAATAATGCGGCTAGCTGTCGACTCCTCATTTTGAAAATTCATCCCCCACGGCATGAGAATGTACTGGCTGATGCCATTATCAAAACATTTGTGGAACATTAAGAATTTATTATAGCTATCTTTCGATGGTACTGTCGGATTAGTCTGTGTTATTTAAAATAAATCCTTCGTATTTGAGTTCTTCAAGTCTATAGTAAAAACCCTGCTCTCGACTGATAAAACACAGTGATACATTTACATTTATTCAATCAGCTTAATTTCATTTTTCTTAATCTTGTTATTCTTTTCTAGACATGATAGGCGCACTGTTTCCAATTTTTATGGAGTGTTAAGCGATCTAAATATCCGTATTTAGAAGCGTTTATCAGCCTGCAGCCAGCCAGGTTTTGATCTTTGTTGATGTATATAATAAAGTATCTTTGTAGGCCTACCTATGACGTCTGACTGCTAGACAATTCTTGACCTTAGAAGAGATTGTTATAAACATTATGTTCGTTGGTGCGTTATGTTTACATATATGYGTACAAAAACAAATGACGGTATTACTACAAATAAATATCAAGTAAAATCGATAAAACTATGGCAAGTGGATGAAATATTGTCACYTATTTGAACAYCCGTCTGATTGGTCAAACTCCTGGAATAAACTAAATATAGCATTGGAGTCGTTCGTAGAGGTATAACATACGAAATAAAAAATAAATGTAATTTTGATGGCGTTGCTATAAAAACATGGGGAAATATATCTTAAATTACTTTAATTTTATCACAAAATACTTTTCCAATGATTCCTCGCGAGATAGATAGCTTTTTGACAGTGCATGTAAAAACCAATCTAATAATAGTATATACATGTATATAATCAGTGACCGTTTGAGGAGGTCAATGGACAAATACATGAATATTTTAAATCAACAAATTAAGCGAACCATCAATTGTCCAGTCGTCTCACAATGACGTTACAGCATGTTGAAAGTTTCTTGGAGTAAATACACAAAACAGTGTAAATTTGGATCTATGAATACTTAATAG